GCTAGATGTTTGTTTTTTCTGTCATTCTTATTCATCATATTGTTGATCTTAGAAGCAACAAAAACTCCTGAACCACAAGACAAAGAGAAAACTACTGTAGCAATTACAACCACAGGACCCATTATGGTAACAACATCCAAGCCGTTAGATTTATGTGCTGAAGGGAGTCACGATTGTCATGCTAATGCTTCTTGTGTGACAACCCCTGGTTCTTATAGTTGTACATGTAAAGAAGGATTTACTGGCAATGGTAAATTATGTCAAGGTAAGGATAATTTGTCATTGAATAGATTTCTTTATGGAACATTATCCGTGCAATATTGATACTACTAGATATTATTATTTTTTCTCTTTATCGACATCAAATTTTCGTTAATGAAAATAATAATTTATGATTGAAATTTAGCCAGTTGGATTAATAATGGGGAAATTAATGTACTTATGGGATAATATTAGAGTTTTGCAGTACTTCTATTCCCTTTTATCTGTCGGATTAATTATTACCGAACACAAACAAAATAACAGCAGCTTAGTAGTGAACTAAGTTGKCTTAAACTTGACAGGATTAACTGTGTCCAGACAACTGCTTTTATTTGAATATAGTATCTTAACATTAGTACAATTTAATCCAATGCAATTTATTTTGTCAACATGTTCATAGCTTTAGCTGCTCTGCCACAGTGTTTGCCACCTTGTAAGGGAAATACTGTATGTCAATCCCATAAAGAGGGACCTCGCTGTATATGCAAGACAGGTTTCAAAGGACCAAATTGTGATGAAGTAGATGTTACCACTGCAGCACCAACTAAAGCAGATGTTACCACTGCAGAACCAACCAAAGTAGATGTTACCACTGCAGAACCAACCAAAGTAGATGTTACCACAGCAGAAGCAACCAAGCCAGATGTTACCACTGCAGAACCAACCAGAGTAGATGTTACCACTGCAGAACCAACCAAAGTAGATGTTACCACAGCACAAGCAACCAAGCCAGATGTTACCACTGCAGAACCAACCAAAGTAGATGTTACCACTGCAGAACCAACCAAAGTAGATGTTACCACAGCAGAAGCAACCAAGCCAGATGTTACCACTGCAGAACCAACCAAAGTAGATGTTACCACTGCA